TTCCATGGATCAGGAATCCAGGGATGACTTAGCAGGGTGAGATGGCTCTGGATCTCTTCCGGGTTCAACTTGAAAGGATACCCACCCTGACTCACCCATGCAGGTGCTGGCGGAATTCTATTCCCCATGAGCTGTCGGCTGGAGACCTCCCTGGGTTCATTGCCACATAGACCTCTCCACAGAGCATCTCACTACATGGCAAGGGCTTCCATGAAGCTGAGCAGGTTTGAAAGGAGCTAGAGAATGCCTGCAAGATGAAAGTCACAGGCTTTTATAACCTAATCTTGGAAGTGACATTGTATTGCCTTTGCCATGTTTTATTTGTTAGAAGCAAGTTGACAGGTCCAGTTCATGTTCAAGGGAAGGGGATCCCACAAGGGCATGAGTACTGGGAGGCTAAATCAGGAGGACCATATTAGAGGTCTACCCCTCACAGAGATAGGTATTATAATTCCTATTTTGTGGCTGAGAAAACTGAGGTGCAATTTGGAAAAAGAGATTGTTGATGTATGTATATGTAAGGTTCATCATGTATGATGAAGATACATGTCTCTGAGTAGTATTGCTCAACCACAGATTGGTACATATTTTCAGAGCTCTTGTTGATTTGACTTTCCTTACTCACTGAATCTGCGTCTGCTATGCAAAAGAGCCTTGCTATGCAAAGTGTGGCCTGGGGATGACCAGCATTGGCTTCACCTGGGAGCTTGTTGGACATGTAGAATCTCAGGCCCCATGCTAGATCTGTGGAATGAGAATCTGCAACCCCAGGTGATTCATGTGCATGGCAAAGTTTGAGAAACTGCTCCAGAAGGTCTCTTTAAGGCTCTCTGCTGACTTCAAGTGTTCCTGTGCTTTTCCGTCTGCTGGCCCTGTAAGGGGATTTTTTTTAGCAGTAGTGAAGGATGTGTTCTATTCTTACACTATTTTAAAACCAGAGCAGAGCCAGGCGTGATGGCTCATGCCTGTAATCCTGACACTTTGGGAGGCCAAGGTGAAAGAACTGCTTGAGCCCAGGAGTTTGAGAACAGCCTGCACAACACAGTGAGACCTCATCTCTACAAAAAATAAAAAAATTAGCCAAGTGTGGTGGTGCATGCCTGTGGTCCCAGCTACTTTGGAGGCTGAGGTGGGAGAACTACTTGAGCCCAGCAGGTTGAGACTAGAGTGAGCCATGATCACACCACTGCACTCCAGATTGGGCTGGAGCAAGAACCTGTCTCAAACCAAACCAAATCAAACCAAAGCAAAGCAAACCAAACCAGAGAAAATAAAGCCTCTGAAATGAAATCTTCTAATTGCCTACTGTTAACGTCTTGTATAAATAGCAACAAGGTAAGTGTAATAATAATGAAGTCTCTTAATACACTAAAATAGAGCAGGAGCCATTGGCATGGCTAATCATACACAGCAGATAATTAAAAGTGAAACTTGGCATTTGGCTCTAGACTGCAGCAAATCTGTCCAGAAACTGAGCCTTCCTAAATTATATTTTATTTAGGCAACATAGATGAATCTCAAAAGCATTATGCTATGTGAAAGAAGCTGGGCACAAAAGATCACATATTGTAGGATTCCATTTATATAAAATCCTAGAAAATGGAAAACTATAGTGATAGACAGTAATTCAGCAGTTTTTAGGGGTTAGAATTGGCTGCCAAGAGGTATGAGAGAACTTTCTGGAGCGATGGAATTGTTCTTTATCTTGAACATAGTGGTAGGTGCATGGGTTTATATATTTATTAAAACTCATCAAATTCCACATTTAAAATTAGTGAAATTTATTCATGCAATCTTCCATAAAGCTGATTCAAAAAACGGGAGTTGGTAGCATTGCCAATTGATTCTAGCTTCTCTAATTTTCTTTAGGCCAAGAACCCAGGAACTAATTTGCATTGATTAGAATAACTCATCAGAGAAGGATGCTATTTAGAAGATTCCTTGGTATCTGATGTTGACAGAGAATGAAAATTATTTCTCCTTTGAAGTCCTACTGAGGAGATACTGTACTTAGAAAATTGTTAAGATTTTTATCATTTACTCCTAAAAGTCACACTCCAAGGGTGATGCCATTGAACTTTTGGCTTTAATTTCTTGAGGTTTTTTTAGCCTTCTTTAAAAATAATATAGAAATGATAGTGATCACTTTTTTTTTTTGTTTTTTTGAGACGGAGTTTCGCTCTTGTTACCCAGGTTGGAGTGCAATGGCGCGATCTCGGCTCACCGCAACCTCCGTCTCCTGGGTTCAGGCAATTCTCCTGCCTCAGTCTCCTCAGTAGCTGGGATTACAGGCACGCACCACCATGCCCAGATAATTTTTGTACTTTTTTTTAGTAGAGACGGGCTTTCACCATGTTGACCAGGATGGTCTCGATCTCTTGACCTCGTGATCCACCCACGTCGGCCTCCCAAAGTGCTGGGATTATGGGCATGAGCCGCCGCGCCCGGCCAGTGATCACTTATTGAGCATTAACACTTGGCCAGAATTCTGCTTAATGCTTCGCTTTCATTATTTCAATTAATCACAGTAATTCTGTAAAATAGGTACTATACTGTCCTCCCCAGTTTACAGAGGAGAGGGCTGAAACTCAGATCAGACAACTTGTTCAAGTGACAACCGATACTTGACTTTGAAATGATCAAGTGCCAAAGCCTCTGAAACCACTCTTTACTTCTATCTTAGCTATTCTCAAATGCTCCTGCAGTGTCTTGCTCAGGCTCTAAAACAGATTTTCCCCAAGTTGTTGGCTTAAGGTCATCTTGTGTCCACAGCCACACGTGCTCACTCTGTGTTTTCTCCAGGATATCGCGAGTCTCAAACGCCTTTACATCTGTACAGATTAAAGTAATCAAATCCATCTACCTGCTGAAAGACTGGAGAACGTGCCCTGCCACTTTTAGCAAGCAGTGTCTGAGCAAGGATTTGCTTCAAAAATGAGGAACTGTCTTCTCTGAACTATAGATTGGGAAGAGCAGGTTCTGGGAGAGGTCGGGTTTTGGCAGTGATGTGTGGCCATGGGATTAGCTGAGGACGTCCTCAACAGTAACGGCTGTTTTGCTTGTTTGTTTTTGTTACTGTTGTTGTTGATTTTGTATAACAGGGTGCTTAGTGATGCAAAGGAGAGGTGCAGAGTAGAAGGTGCTGGGGACCAGTATAGCTTTGGCCACCATACACATCTGGTAATGGGAGGTGCTGTGTAGCCACACACCTTGCACACAGTAGTGGTAATGATGGGTGGATCTCTGCCAGATAGTAAGGACCCATTTTAACTCTTACGTGTAATTAAAAGATTCTGAGTTTGATTCTCTGAGTATAAAACTTCTCAGATGGCTGCTCATCTGCTGTGAGAGGCAGAGAATTGTCACTGAGGTGCTGCAAATGGACTCTGTGTTCCTTGGTATATCCCCGTGCCCCAAGATAGATGCCAAGTGCATTATGGACCCAGACTCAGAGTACAGCCCCAGAGGAAAAGTCTTACCCAAGCAGCAGGCAGTGAGCTTTACTCACTCATACTAATGAGCAAATGCTTAGAAAAGAATCTGACATTCATAGGAAGTGAAAATGAGGCTGTTTGCACCTCCAAGGGGGACCTCAGATGTGAGCTAGGGAGCTCAGCATGGCCAACTGGCTGCATGAGCTCTGCAGAGCTGAGAAGAGTTGCACCAGCCAAGGTATCTCAGACATCCTTAGAGGCCCTCCTTCTCCAAAAGCATTGCTATTTTAGGGGAAAAAATCAAGGCCAGCCTTAGTAGTACAACAGAACAAAACCAGGTGTGGCTGGGAAAGCAGGAAACTTTTACATGGACATTTGTACATCAAGAAGTTCTGACGATAGCTTTGATGACACTATGTACTTTACTTATTGAAGTATTAGTCCTTTTTATATATTAAGAATATTAGCACTTCATCACATATTTTGCATGAAATTAAATCTTTTTGTTAATAGCAGAAAGGAGATTGACTTACATAAACTCTGTGATCCTTCTGCTAAAAAATAAAAGCCTCCACAAAATTTCTGGTTATTGACACTATTTTAGTTCCCTAGGGATGGCAAAACAAAGTGCCACAAACTGGTGGCTTAAAACATTAGAAACGTGTTCTTTCAATTCCAGAGGCTAGAAGTCCAAAATCAAAGCACTGGCAGGGCGTGCGCTCTTGGAGCCTTCTAGGGGGGATCCTTCCTTACTTCTTCCAGCTGCTGGTAGCCCCAGGTGTTCTCTGGCTCGTAGATGCATCACTGCCTCCTAACATGGCACGCACTTGGATGTTACTTGGATTGGGGCCATTCTCATAACTTTGCCTTAACTTGATTATATCTGTGATAACTTTATTTGGAAAGAGTTTCCAAATAAGGTTACATGCACAGGCACCAGGATTGAGACTTCAACATATCTTTTTTGGGGACACAGTTCAACCCACGACAAACATCCACCCATTATGAAGTACCAGCTATCATTAGCATATTAGAAACATGGTATGGACTGGGATGAGGTCAGTCTTGCTTCATATTTGAATCCCCAGTACTTAGCACAGTATCTGGTAAGTAGTGTGTCCTCAATAGAGATTTTTTTTTTCTTTTGAGACAGGTTCCCACTCTGTTGCCCAGGCTGGAGTGCAGTGGCATAATCATACCTCACTCCAGCCTCGACCTCCTGGGCTCAAGCAGTCCTCCCGCTTCAGCTTCCTGAGTACCTAGGCCTACAGGCATGGACCAGTACACATGGCTGATTTTGTACTTTTTGTACAGTGTTTCACCATGTTGTTTCCTAGGCTGGTCTTGAACTCCTGGGCTCAAGCGATCTGCCTACCTTGGCCTCCCAAAATGCTGCAATTACAAGTATTAGCCACCATGCCTGGCCAAGGTGTGTGTTTTATGTTCCCCAGACACATGTCCTGAAATGAATCTTTGAGAATATGCAGACAAGCACCCAGACTACAACCAAATTTATTTACCAGAATTATTGGGTTGGATGAAACAGAAAATAAGCCAACAGAACACTTAAAAATACAAATTTATTTTCTTCATATTGTTCAATCTAATTATCAATTTATTTCAAAATCATGAAAAGCAAAGCCTGGCACACCAAATGCTAGGTCAGATTTGCTCTGGAGACGTACTTTCTAGATTATTTTTTGGACTTAACTTAAAAAATAATTAATTTGCATTAATATAGCACTACTACAAATATATTTGTGGTATAATACAAATTATACCACAGAATTCCTACAGGTAAACGTTTTAAAAACATAATTCATCACCTGAAAAAGATATATTCATCACCTGAAAAAGATATATTTATTACAGTTAAGTTTTTAAGTCAAGAGTTTTCTCTGAGAGTTGATATATTTTTTCTATAATGTCTCCACTTCCCCTTACTTTCATCGAAGTATCACTAAAGCCAGTCAAATGCAGTCCTGTGGGGCTAGGTCTACAACATCTGCTTAGGTTTATTTTAGTGGCCATAGTTCCAATCTAAGAGCAATGGGCCACTGTTCAGGTCCTAATGTACAGCCATAGAGATGAGGTATTTCGATTTGAACAGAAGCAACATTTCGACCCAGGCACTATATTTGCCACTCATGCAGACGTGGTAGACCATGTGTGCTAAAATGAGCATCAGAGCCATCATTCAGATGCACACAGTGCTGGTCTCATGGACCCATGCAGTCACACAGAGCCTCATGCTTGGAAGGGCACTGTGCTTGGTGTGACAACTGCTGTTGCCATCTTGAATTTCTTAATAACTTTTGAATGATGGGCCTGCATTTTCATTTTTCACTAGGCTCTGCAAATTATGTAGCCAGTCCTAGATACACACAAAAGTTGCTTGGCCTGATTCAGCTAACTTGGGATCTATGTTTTCATTTGGCATTGAAGGCAGAGCTGTGGGTAGTTCCCAGCAGCAGGATGATTCTAGTTCTAGAACATTTTTAAACGTATGGAAGTTGTTGGTCATGTAATTCACTGGGAACAGTAAAGGAAGGAAGCCCACAAAGATGATTTTTGTTTATGTGTAAGTCTATAGAAGTGAAATTATACTCCTTGGAATATGGAAGAATCAAGCCCAACTGTGAGATAGACATATATATATATATACACCTCCAGGTACTCAGGAGGCCATATATATATATATATGAGGCTGAGTGTGTGTATATGAGGCTGAGTGTGTGTATATATATATATGTATGTGTATGTATGTGGGGCTGTGTGTGTGTATATATATATGTATGTGTATGTATGTGAGGCTGAGTGTGTGTATATATATATGTATGTGTATGTATGTGAGGCTGTGTGTATATATATATGTATGTGTATGTATGTGAGGCTGTGTGTGTGTATATATATATGTATGTGTATGTTATGTGTATGTATGTGAGGCTGAGTGTGTATATATATATGTATGTGTATGTATGTGAGGCTGTGTGTATATATATATGTATGTGTATGTATGTGAGGCTGTGTATATATATATATGTATGTGAGGCTGAGTGTGTGCATATATATATGTATATGTATGTGAGGCTGAGTGTGTGTATATATATATATATGTATGTGTATGTATGTGAGGCTGAGTGTGTGTATATATATATGTATGTGTATGTATGTGAGGCTGAGTGTGTGTGTATATATATATGCATGTGTAAGTATGTGAGGCTGAGTGTGTGTGTATATATGTATGTGTATGTACGTGAGGCTGAGTGTGTGCATATATATGTATATGTATGTGAGGCTGAGTGTGTGTATATATATATATGTATGTGTATGTATGTGAGGCTGAGTGTGTGTGTATATATATATATATGTATGTGTATGTATGTGACGCTGAGTGTGTGTTTATCCTCCTGAGTACCTTGGACTACAGGCACACAGCACTACACCTGGCTAATTTTTTTTTATAGAGATGGGGGTGTCACTGTGTTGCCCCAGCTGATAAGGGTGTTTTTAAAAAAAGTGTCCCTGTTGATTCTTCTTTGCAGCCAGGCTTAGGAGCCACTGAGATTAACTACAGGTAATTACAGGTGCCTAAGATAATATAAATAATTCCTCCCTAATCTATTTTTTTCATCATCAAGAACTTATTTCAGCAATTCAAATAAAAAGAAGAATCTGTACAAGGTCTGAGTTTGGCTATTGTTTATCAGAATAACGAAAACATTGTCTTCTGAATTAGAAAGCACTCTTCCTACCTTTCTTCAAAAGAATGGTAGGTAGTAGTTGGTCCAGAAGTGCCACAAAATGTCTATCTTCCATTTATAAAGAGGAATAAACATTTCATGATAGGGCATGGTCCTCTGTACAGGTGGATAGAGTGTGTGATTTTAAAAGGACAGGTTGCCCAAGAAGAGGAGTTTTTTTCTAGATACCTGTGAGACAGGGAAAAGCCCAAAGGGCAAAGAAGAGTCACCTAGACCTTCAAAGGCCACATAGGGCTTCCAACTCTGGCTGTGAATTAGAATCACCTAAAGTATCTAGAAAAAATATTGACATCTGGGCTTCATCCCACAGCAGTTAAATTACAACCTGGGAATGGAACTCAGGGAATGGTGTTTTTATTTTTTATTTTTATTTTTTGAGACAGGGTCTTACTCTATTGCCCAGGCTGGAGTGTAGGGGCATGATCATGACTGACTGCAGCCTCAACCTCCTGGGCTCAAGTAATCCTCCTGCCTCAGCCTCCTGAGTACCTGGGACTACAGGCACACACTACTACACCTGGCTAATTTTTTTTAAGAGATGGGGGTCTCACTCTCTTGCACCAGCTGCTAAGGGTGTTTTAAAAAAGTGTCCCTGTCGATTCTTCTTTGCAGCCAGGCTTAGGAACCACTGAGATTTTGCACACATTTAAAAAAAAATCTAGACTACCTCAAAGTCAAACAGGTATCTGTTTTGAAAATTTAAAAATTAGGTATATATTTATATCTGATTATATTTAAACACAGACACTGCTAACATAGTTTTTTCTATGTATGTAATGTATTAACTACAGGTAATTACAAAGTATTTTATAAATAATTTAATGGTCTCTGTCTCTCTAAGGTTGAACAATACCTCCAATAAATAACAAGACATTTAAGAGATAAAAATATTTTTAAAGTAAGATATTTCAATTATTTTTAGGAAATCTGAAGGATGTGTCAAAGTTTAAAAGTCCTTTAAATGGGAAATGGATAAGGCAAGTAGTGTCTTCCTAACTTGGAATATTTTAAAGATATTAAATATCTTCTTCCATTAAAAAAAGAACTGTTAAGGCCAAAGTTTAAAATTAAGGCATTTGGAAGCTAATTCATATTTTCTAGAATGCCTCCTTTAGTAAGACACTTCTAAAAAAGTCACTAAACATCTTTACAAAGAAGTACCTAAGAGTCTAATAATTCTTGAGAAGTAATTGTTTTTCAACGGATTTTTGAGTTCTAGAGTAAAGGTGTTCTTGGATATTTCACAAGTCTGTAAAGAGCTGTGGAAGCATCACAACTGATGAAAAAGAGAGGCAGGGAGAAAGGAAAGGAAGAAATGTACAGGCATAAAAGAGGCCCTGCAGTTACTTTCTGGTGCCATGCTGGAGAAAGCTATACTAACTAACTGTAATGGATAACTCACTCTTGTGGACAGAATTGACACAAAAGGTCTCATCTCTATTTTTTCATATTCATAACCGTGGAACCAGACCAGCAGAGTATGGTCAAGGCACAACAGTTCAGATTTCCCAGTTATGTTTGTGTGTCTCAGGTGTACATGACAAAAGAATGTAATTGCCAAAGACACTGAAAAGACTGACTTGCTTTCCTAGCTTTTAGCACACCACTAACACCTGCAGACACTAAGGGGTGTTTGGAAGCATCATTTAAGGAATGAAACAAAGTTTACAGTGATTACATCTTTTTCTTTAAAGAGCTTGAGGAACAAAAAGATAACCAAAATTGAGAGTAAACCCAGATGAAAATAGACGTCACCAATTATTCCAAAGAATTTCAAGAAGCACTCAACAGAAAGATAGTAAAAATATCAGGGACAATAAGGAAGTCAGTAGTCTGTTTAAACTGAGAATATTCTCCAATGCCACAGACAAATGAGAAAAAACAGACCTGCAAATAAGCCTAGTACTGAACATTACTTAACCGACCAATCAGGAATGCCAATATTATTTTTTCTCCAGGGAAGAGTTCAGCTAAGAAAAAAGGTATACTTCTGAAATGCCAGCTTTCACAATGTCTACTGCATTTGAAATCCAAGTTTGATGACTGATATGCTAATTTAAACCATAGGACACGAATTTGTTTTTAATTCTAGCCTAAAGTATTAGGCTGAATGTTTCTCTCCTTGTTTGATGCCAAGAACAAGATGTAGAAACCAATTAAATTGCACAGTCCATCCTTTGTCTCTGCAAACTTCGATCTGATCAAGAAAATACTTTTTAGCATCCTCCTCATTTTTCCCCACCGTGAGGGCATCCCGGATATATTCAATGTCTTCTTTGCTTGTTAACTGGGGCATTCCTGTCATCAGCATCATGGAGAACAGGATGATCAGTAGGTTTGTGTGATGACGAAGGGCTAGATAAGCCTTAACACAGATGTCCTGGATAAAGGAGAAGAGAATGCTGTTACTGTTGTTATGGTAACTAACACGTAGGCTGAAGACCACAGGCATATACTGAAATGTACATAGCATTACCTGTCCATGAGGAGAAACCACCACAAACAAGGTAGGTCCCTGACTTAGACAAAAAACTTGATGAGAAATTGTTTTTATAATCTCTTCAATACTTTAGTGTAGTCGCATATATCCGGGGAGTGTGTTCAAGGAAAACTAATTGATACAGACAAGTTTCATCTTATTTCTTACTCTACCTTTTTAATTCAGTTTCTTTCCCAAGAGATTGAGGGTAGAAATTTCTGTAATTTCTGAAGAGCAATTTGTCAGTTTTTGAACATCATACTAGAATCAATAAACTTTATGTAAGTGTAAATAATGTCTGCCAAGAGCTAATAAAGTCCAAAGAACTGAAGAAAATGTGTTTGAGATTTCATTTTCATCTTTATTTTACACTCTGTTCAATTCTAAGAAAACAGATGAATTAAGTTTTTACTGCCTGATTCTCAAAATTGCTGAATGAATTGAAATTTAACACAAATTCTGAACACAGAATGAGAGACAGGGCTTTAAAAAATGCTATGGCTGATGGCTCCCCAAAAAGCTTTGGAGCAGGTGAGTTAAGTCTGCTTATTAAGCAACAGGTATGATTATGCCATTTAAATTGTTCCAAAGCACAGAAACAATGCAAGGGTCTCAATTTTTACAGCATGAGAATAACCCAACCTTAATACCATAACTTGACAAAGATAGTATATTAAAGAAAACTAGTTAGTGATTATATATATACATATTTCAAATAATATTGAGTATAATGTTAAAAGAATAATATACCATAGCCAAATAAGGTTTATGCCAAAACTGAGAGATTAATTCACCATAAGGTACTGTATGAATATCTTTGATTTAAAAAATATATGACTTCATACGTCATTAAAATGTAATAATATGAAGAATTATCTGAAATTATAAAAATAATTTGACCCAGCAATCTCATTACTGGGTAAATACCCAAGGGATTATAAATCATTCTATTATAAAGACACATGTACATGTATGTTTACTGTGGCACTGTTCACAATAGCAAAGACTTGGAACCAACCCAAATGCCCATCAATGATAGACTGGATAAAGAAAACGTGGCACATATACACCATGGAATACTATGCAGCCATAAAATGGGATGAGTTCATGTCCTTTGCAGGGACATGGATGAAACTGGAAACCATCAATCTCAGCAAACTGACAGAACAGAAAACCAAACACTGCATGTTCTCACTCATAAGTGGGTGTTGAACAGTGAGAACACACGGACACAGGGAGGGGAACATCACATAATGGGTCCTGGGGGGTGGGGACTAGGGAGGAATAGTAGGGGTAGGGGGACTGGGGAGGGATAGCACTAGGAGAAATACCTAATGTAGATGACGGGGCAATGGATGCAGCAAACCACCACCATGGCATGTGTATACCTATGTACCAAACCTGCACAATCTGCACATGTACCCCAGAACTTAAAGTATGATAAAAAAAATTCTAAATAATGAAGTAACAGAAAACCAAATGAAGTATAAAATCAGAAAAGTGGGCCAGGCATGGTGGCTCACACTTGTAATCTCAGCACTTTGGGAGGCTGAGGTGGGTGGATCACTTGAGGTCAAGAGCTCAAGACCAGCCTGGCCAACATGGTAAAACTCTGTCTCTACTAAAAATACAAAAAAATTAGCTGGGCATAGTGGTGTGTGTCTGTAATCCCAGTTACTTGGGAGACTGAGGCAGGAGAATTGCTTGAACCTGGGGAGGTAGAGGTTGCCGTGAGCTGAGATCACACCACTGCACTCCAAACTGGGCGACAGAGTGAGACTCCATCTCAAAATAAATAAATAAATAAATAAAAATAAAAATAAAATAAAATCAGAAAGTGATGGTAAACTTATTATTTACAAATGACCTAATTGTCTTGCAACACTGAAGGGAAAAGGTTAAATATTACCATAACTAGTTTTTAATAAACTGGCTTTTTATAAAAATTAATAAAGAATGCTGTAAATAGGAGCCATAAGTTGGAAAGTAAAACGCAAAATCAGATGCTATAATCAATAGTAACAATAACATGATTCCTAGAATAAACACATAAAACATGCAGAACCTATGTTGTTATAATTTTTATAATTTACATTTATAATTTTTATAATCTTAAAAATTATAAAACTTTAATCTCTGAAGAGCAATGAGCCAGGTTTTGAACATCATACTGGAGTCAAATACACTTGAGTCATAAAAAAGAAAACAAGTACATGGAGCAAAATAGCATGTCCCTCAGTGACAAGACTGCTTATAATGATAAAAATATTCTTAATCTATAAACACAATTTCAACATAAATTCTTATTGGGTGTTTAAACTCAGGTATTGTTTTAAGTTCATCTGAAATAGAGTCTGAGAGAACATTTTGAAAAAGTATAATAATGAAAACTAGTGCTTGTCAAACCAGATATTAAACCACTATATAAAACTACATTATTAAAAACAGTGTGAACCATTATCTATTCTTTTCCCAAAAAGACAAGAAATTTTGTGGAACAGAAGTGAAACTTCAGAGACATACCTAAGTATATAAATATGATATACAATACATGTGACTTCTCAGATTGAGGGGGAAAAGATCTATTACTTGATAAATTGGACCAGGACAAGTGGCTCATCATTTGGGGGAGAAAATAAAATTCTACTCCATGTGATATACCAAAAATAAATTCCCAATGAACTAAATGTAAAAAGGTAGAATATTTAAATAATCATGGAGTGGGAAGGGACTTTATGAAGATGACTTCCATGGTAGACTCTATGAGGAAGAGATGGTGAGACTGCAGAAACTTAAAAATTTTGAGGAAAATAAAAAGCTATACATAAAAGAGGATTAATGACAAAAGAAACTGTGTTTGCAACATTCAGATCACTCTTTCAACCTCAGCTCCCTAATATTTCTTAAAAATCAGTAAGAAAGAGATAAATGGTTAGCTAGAAATACAGGCCAAAAACATAAGAAGATTCACACTGTAAGACATAAAAACAGATAAACCTAGAAAAAATGCAACCTCATTGATATTCAAATAAATGTAAAATGAAATGGAAATATTTACCTACAAACTAGACTTCTTTTTAGTCTTTTAAGGCTAATACCCAAGGTTCACGTTTTATAAGCTGATGGTAGATGGGCATACACATAATGTTACCAGCAGACAATTAGATTAACATGCATCAAAAGCTTTAAAGTGCTTATAAATGTTATATAACTTAATTGTGGTGGTGGTGACCTGACTGATGTATTTGTCAAAATTCATAAAACTGTACACCTAGAAACGGTGATTTTATACCTCCAGCAAGCTGCAGTAGACTACAGGCCCACAGCACAGACCCTCCACCCTGGGCTGATTGCACTGAGCCACAGCTGACCTGCATCTCTCTGGGGTAAAGTCCCCAGGTGACAAGCAAATGACCCTTGGCCACAACCACTACCAAAGTTCCTTCCTCTACTGCCTCCAAATTGGGGAAGGAACATAAACACTGAGATTACCTGAGAGCTGCAATGGGCATCCCAGGAGTGCCAAGTCATGATCTAAAGCCAGCACTCAAGCGGGAGAGAAACCCACACTTTCAGAGCATTGAAAAGGAACATAGCTGCAACTGTGAGGAAACATGGGGAGCATACAACAAAGCAAGAGTCTACCAACTGACCAATAAGCCTAAGTGCCAGCTGCTGGATCATACCCCAAAGCTTCAACACCAAAAATGCATCACTAATATCCTCCCTCTGAAACCAGGGACAAGAAATCAGCTTCAAATAAAGACCTTGCACAAAGCCTTGGCCTGATGAAAACATCCAGAAAATAATTCTATTATTAGCTGGGAATAGTGGAATATGCCTGTAATCCCAGCTACTCAGGAAGCTGAGCTATAAGAATTGCTTGAACCTAGGAGGTGGAGGCTGCAGTGAGCCGAGATCATGCCACTGCACTCTAGGCTGGGTGACAGAGCAAGACTCTGTCTCAAAGAAAAAAAAAAAAGAAAGAATTCTATTGACTGTACTCAGTCTATACTGTGGTTAAAGGAGCATCCACATGCAGACATGAGAAAGGACCAACACAAGAACTCTGGTGACTCAAATGGTCAAATTCTCATATGTCCAAACAATCACACCAGTTTTCCAACAAGAGTTCTTAACCAGGCTAAACTGGCAATAATGACAGACACAGAATTCAGAATTCAGCAACAAAGATCATCAAGATTCAGGAGGACGGCAAAACCTAATCCAAGGAAAGTAAGTATCACAATGAAGTGATGGAGGAACTGAAGGATGAAATAGCTGGTGTGAAAAAGAACCTATTGGGTCTGACAGAGCTGAATAATACAATACAAGAATTTCACAATGCAATCACAAGTATTAATAGCAGAATAAACCAAGCTGAGAAAATAAGCTCAGAACTTGAAGACTGGTTCTCTGAAATAAGACAGTCAGACAAAAATAAAGAAAAAAGAATAAAAAGAAATGAAAAAAAAAAGACAACACCTCTGAGAAGTATGGGGTTATGTAAATAAGCCAAATTTACGAATCACTGGTATCCCTGAAAGGGAGCAGGGAGAAAGCAAACAACTTGGAAACATATTTCAGTATATTGTCCATGAAAACTTCCCCAAGCTTACTAAAGAGGCTGATAGTCGAATTCAGGAAATACAGAGAACTGTAAGATTTTACACAAGAAGATCATCCTCAAGATACATAATCATCAGATTTTCCAAGGTCAAAATCAAAGAAAGAATGTTAAAGGCAGCTAGAGAGAAAGGACAGGTAACCTACAAGGGAAACCCATCAGGCTAACAGCAGATTTCTCCACTGAAACCCTACAAGCCAGAAGAGATTGGGGGTCTATATTCAGTATTCATAAAGAAAAAAATCTTCAACTAAGGATTTCATACCCAGCCAAA